TATATATATATATGATGACACTATATTCTGGGATATCATCCGTTCGCTTGTTGAACTCCGACTGGAATCCTGCAGACGTTTCGCCAAAATCTCACTTGCCATCTTCAATGCTCGCGCTTCGAAAACACTTCGAACACTCGGAGCGCGAGCATTGAATATGCCAAGTGAGATTTTGGCGAAATGTCTGCAGGATTCCAGTCGGAGTTCAACAAGCAAACGGATGATATCCCGGAATATAGTGTCATCACATTTTTCCATCCGTGAATCAATACGTGAAAATATATATATATATATATATATATATATATATATATATATATATATATATATATATATATATATATATATATATATATATATATATATATATATATATATATATATATATATATATATAATCACATAATCAAATCAATCAAATCAAAACTATTTACAGTGTATAAGATTTTTGCAGTAGATACTGTGTCAATCTTATTTTAAAATGTGTTAAAAAGTTTCATTTTATTTCATCAGGAAGACGATTAAAGACTTACAGTCCCAGTATAGGTATATGAATTTTGTTTTGCTGTCTGTCTGGTGTTAAAAGATTAAATATATTTATTTTGAGTAAAGTTGTTTTCATTTTTGTATATATATGTATATGTATATATTCTGAGCTCGAATATAAACAAAATTGGTAAGTTCAGGATACCGTATATATTAAATAAATTTTTGGAAGAATAAGAGCTCGGTACTCCAGCAATACAACGAATGGTTCTTTTATGTGCTGTATAGACCAAACCGATAGTATTATTCCGTATCGTAGACGACATTCAATGCGAGAGTAATATATTTGTAATAATTATGATTCCGTCTGTACAGCGTGCAAAGTCCTCAGCATGTAAATATTCGAGTTCAACCGAGAAATACAGAATTCGCAGTCATTTTTGTAGTTTAGATTCTCATCAATTATAATACCTAAAAATTTAACACTCTGGACAATCATCTATCTTCAAAATGAGACTAGAACATATTTATATATCGTTGCATTTATTCTGCAATAAAAGTACGCACCTATCTGAAATGAAAATGTCATCGGAATATACATCATTGATTTGATGGTAAATAGTACAGGACCTAAAACCGATCCTTGTGGAACACCTATATAAATATCAACTAAAGACGAATTAATCTGACTACAGGAGATGATTATCTTTGTCATTAAAACACTGACAAACTACCAGTCTGTCAAGTTCTGTGTTGTGGACATATTTCTTTCACATGGAACGCCCAATAGAAAAGGAAATCTGGACATACCTAATTTTTCCTAAATTTATTTGCAATATACAAGCAGAATGAATTAAACAAAACTGAGAAAGAATAAGTATAGTGCACGGAAAATATCTGCCCAGTTAAAAGTTAATAGTTTTAAATGAACTATTTCGGTGTATTGCTAAGAACATACTATTTAATTTGCTATTGGAAGTAAATACGATTTTATTTTCCGAAACTTTGGTTCTCTGATGAAAACTGATATTGACCGGACATGTGTGGTTCGAGCTTTATCCGTATGCGTGCTCTTAAAAATGCACTCTATTGCGTTTAAGTTTCATATCGCTTTAGAATGGAAGGTAAAAAAAAATTGATACGATCTAAAAATATTTAATATACGTGCGAATGGTTCTGCCAATTCCGCAACTTTTGTAGGAGAATAATTTTTTATCGAAAATTTGCGCGCAAAACACACTCGAGCAATTTAAATTGGGCGAGCTATAGACATACAGTCGATGAAAATTATGAACATTAAATAATTTTAGAAAATCACGAGGGAATTTATTCCATGATTCCCTTGTATCCAGCGCATTCACCAAAATTGAGTTCGCCAAAAGGTTGAGCGGTTTGGTTTTATTTTCGGAGTATGATCATAAACAACAATCTGCAAGAAGTGAAATATTGTACAAAACAGATAAAGATTTTACGCTTTACCACACAGTTCTATAATTAGTGTAGATTACTATTATATGTGGAATAGACTTTTTACACTTTTAATGGTCGGGTATTGATAGTGACATTGCAAAATTTGTCGTGGGTGTTCGTCATGTGAAGAATCCGATAGAAAAACGCCACTCGATTGTTACAGTGCACTACGAGAATCTTGGTCACGAGTGGCTGATAGTCACTGACGCTTATTCAAGATGATAGGAAAATTTACCCAAGAATATCACTGCAGAAACAACAATCTCTAAAATTAACAAGATATTTCCTATCATACAAAAAGAAATGGAATTGCAGATCGGGCAGCCGGAACATTCAAATAACGGATGATTGCAAGTAGATCCCTCAACAAAACACAGGATGAAAGTTTTTCTAGTTCCCGATTATAATACAATGAAACAGAAGATGTCCAAGTTTTTGGTCGTCCTTTGACGACGATTTTTGACCAACTAAGGGAAGAAAGATGACGAGACATCCACAGAGAAAGTTTTTAAGGAAAACAGTGCTGTTTCGGTAAATAATCTCATGGGAAAAAGTTCAGTAGAAGGAAAAAAAATCAAATCAGCTCCCTAATCATACGTTGTTGATTTTGATAGAACGAAAGAAGAGGGAACCCCGAAGAGCAACTTTTCCCAAAAAAACTTCTGATCATTATATTTTTAGTTTCCTAATGGTAATTTTAATCCAGAATCTTCAACACCAACGTGGGTTATAAATTCAAGTAACGATTCAAGGTATGAAGAATAATTACTACCAGCAAATAAACGAAACCATCGATGAAATATAGAGTACATATTCTTGTAGGAACTGAAAACCTCGAATTCGTTTTATAGATCATATTTTGGTCTGGGAAAAATTTAGTGCTGCAACTGCAATCCTGACATATGATGTCAGGTTATGTATTTTAATTGTAATTTATATTTCACCTAATAAATATAAATAAAAAAGTGTTTGAAAAATTTGACGTTATAAATATCTGAATGTTAATTTTTATTGTCTATATTATCCCCAGACGAATATTATTAAAAAACATGTTGATAATGATGACCGCTTGGCAAATATTGATCTTTAATACGGGAGGTGGTATCTCCGCAACTAAATTGATTGGAACGAAAACGTTATGCGCCACATTACGCTGTCTTTAATGGCCGTAATGCACAATCCGGGCACTGAAAATGGGTTAAAATATTTATGCAAAGCGGGGGCCATTATCGAAATAACCCCGAAATTTATGCGTGCGCGTAAATCACGCAAACGGAACAAATATGGGGCCGAGGATTAATAAGCCAATTTGTTATGATAAAATACTTTGGAAAATATTAAGTAAAATTATGAGTATCATGTGTTAGAGCGGATTACGTATGGTTGCCATAACGGCTGAAACAAATTGTCGTCCGTGCCTTCGATGATCGCCAGTTTTTGGTTATCCGTTACTCATCTTTTATAATACGCATTTTTTTATGTTCTCATGTTATTTTGAATTTTTATTTTATTTAATGCAAAATTATATTGACCGGCTTGAAGCGCAACTAGCTAACTAACCAAAACTTAAAGGAAATATCTGCTACAGGTAAGCTAACAAAAATCAGCAACTTATATCTTATTTATATTAAGATGACTATGTTAACAAAATTGGAAAATATATAAAAAAAATATATCACATAAATATATCGAACATGGGGGCATAATCACTAAAATTTAAAGAATTCATTTCGAGAAGAAAAAATAAAAGGTAAATAGATTTGGTAATCTTTTACTTAGCACGCTTGGTTGGCTATACTATTTCTCTCATAACATATAATGATCGTGGATATATATGTAATTAGGTTAAACTTTTTTTTGTCTGATTTTGTAAGAAAGAGTTATTCTTAATTTTTTTTTTAAGTCTTTGAGACCCGAAAACTACGGAAATACTACTGACTTTATATTTTCAGTTAAAATTTTATAATCAATTTTTTTAAATATTTTTATTTCTTACTACTCCGTAATTTTTTTGCATAAGTACTTTCTTCGTGAGATATGATATTTTACATTTAAACCAATATCAACAATTAAGCAAGTTTTCCAATTCTTATTTTAGAGGACTTTAACTTAATTTATTTAGTATTTTCAAGAAGATCGTTGTAATGAACATATTTTTTTAAAATTATATTTTAGTTTAGACCTGCGGAGTGGAGTAAAATGAACAAGTATATTTTTTTGGACTTCCATTGCTTTTGTATTTCTAATACAACTCTAGGTTTTGGTTGGCATATGGTTATCTCCAACAGTAATCAAGAGATGAGTTTTATTGATAATCTCTTTTGATAATGTTAGTTATGTAAATAATAACACGAATAATGCAAATATAGACAACTTTCCCATATTCAACAAAATACAAAAAATAATACAAATTCCAAAAATCGCAAAAAATGACTCTAGTAGAGTGACTCGAGTAGCAAAATAAAACATTTCAAACCTCCGATTCGCTGCGTTGACCATAATGCATAAAATGTGAGACGTACAATCGGTAAAATTTATTGTTTTAATGTGAATAACTGGCTGCGATTTTTCAATCAACATGCCACCGCGTACTGTTCAGTAAAACAAAAAAATTAATAAATGTAGTTCAAATCAAAAATAACGTTCCATAAAATGATTAATGGATAAAAGTTGCCGACTAAAAACATGCGGTAGCGAGGCGTTGTACAAATTTACACGTTTTATAATATATTGTTTAAAAAATATGCGCCGTCTGTACGCACATAGATAACGTGCAATGTTCATTTCAATTTTGTCGTCGTTTTTCCATTGGTTTTCAATTTATACTTTCGGAATTTGAAACCATTTCCATTGTACAATATATGTATCTGTTTAACGCAAATAAACACCTTTGTATTCGGCCATTTTGTGAATGTGATTTTTCCTTTTAATTTGTTAGATATCTTTAGTCACTCAATAACGATGCTAACTAGCTGCCCACCCGAAAGAGATAATTAAAAATCCTCCGAAATAGTGTTTTTTAATAAAACGAAACGACCACTCACCATTTCTGTTCTCGCTGTCGGCCGGTTTCATTTGAATGGGGTGGTGCATCTGAAACAGACAGATTTAATTGATTAAAGTGCCGCATATGGGACTCGTGGGGATGTATGGACACTGTGGGATGTTAGAGGGAATAAGTGGCGTTCATCTCTCCCTGCTAATAACTTGTGACACGCCACAATAGCGCCGATCGAGGAGCTAATTGTTATACACTGAGAGAACAATCGTAGCAGTGTTTGGAAAACGTCTTTCTTCATAATTACGTGTTAATTGGTGTTAATTACGACGAAAAGAATGTTTTTCTGCAACTTTCCTAATATTAGCATGCAAAATGAACAACAATAATGAAAAAATATTATAAATACGTGATCTTTTAAGTAACTTGAACGCTATTGACGTTCTGCTAATAATAATTTTGTTGCCAATTATTTGATGAGAGAATGGTGACAGCATAGTATTATAGCAAAATCTTACAACTGCGTCAATATAAGCATTTTGTAATCCTTTGTGTCGGTTTGGTTTAGACCAACATCTAGATTTTATACTACACATAAACTAGTTGGTGCTTTTAGGAGGCAGCTTAATTAAGAAGGGTTTCCATGTTCAAGCCTTCAGTTTCCTACACCAACCTTTGAAATACCCTTGCAGAATCTTTGGTTAAGGTACTTTACTTAATTGATTCTGTATTTTCAAGCTCTTATATTTCGTACAGAGTTGTTCTTCACTTGCTTTTTTTGAAATTAATGCGAAATACCTAAAAATTATACAGTGACGCACAGGCATAAGAGAAAAAAATTCTTTAAAAGGACTTGACAAAACGAAACTAAATAAAGGAACAATACAGCACAAAATCAGGAGTTTTTATTCATTGGGATTTAATCAAATTTGTCACTGTTTTTTCCTCTTTTTGCTTTGAACATGTGAACCTGATTTAATTTACGTGCACTGTACTGTTAATATTTCTATTTTTAAAAACCGGTAGATAGCGGCAATACTTTTTTTTTCAGTCAACACCATCGTTATTTTTTAACGAAACCCACGATATTCCCAGATCTGATCAGTTTTTTTTTTATCAATTCAATTAAATCGGCTCGAATCGCCTGGTATCGAAGTAATTCCGGTTGAACGTGGATATATCTAATACATATGTTCAAAAAACGAATCCAAAAATCAATTTCCTGTTTAATGTAAACTTTCAATGAACATTTTTACCGGTGTGTGCATCAAAGAGTGATATTTTATTTGATATATTTGTGTATTTAGCACTTATAATTTAATATATAATATAATAATATATTAACATCTTGCATTTCAGCTGCACGTACGAAAAATTAGAAAATATCTAGACTGGTGGCGCACAACACTGTCAGAGCGTTCCAAAATAATTGCCATTTGAACAGACACGTCGTGTGGTTTAATTTCAACAAACACGAAATGCTGATCAACACAAAACAAATATTAGGTTTAACACTAAACTTGTTTTGCCCCTCAATTCTGGCACGGCATTTGGTCTCGAATTTTACCCTTTCGACGTGTAAATTAAATTATTTTCAAAACTATAAACTAGCAGCAATTGTTTACGTATGTTCGGCCATTCCCTTGTGTTTCCAACTCAGTGAGTATAAGCAATAAATGGAAACAAAGTATTTCTGAATGGTACTGATTAGTAAGACCTCGTTATATATGCAAATGGGAAACTCCGTACCCTGTAGACAAAACGTAGCTTCATCACTGAATAGCATCTGACAATGAAAAAACAAAAAAAAAACAAATTGCAACCTTCTTCTTGATTTCTATCGAATAAAAATAAAAATTTGAATTCTCTGGGTTTCATTTAGACACGCCATTTTCCGAAAGTAACCTGAATATTCATAGTAATTAGACCAACCAAACCAAACCAATTAGACATTTTAGGAAAAAGGGGAGGTAGAAATGTGCTCAAAATTGCTTGCTCGTGAATATTATAATATTATTATTTTGTTAGAAAACTGCTTTACTTCGAAAACCTTTTGATTTAGTAAGAATATATAGATAACAAACAAGGTAAAAAAAACTTTTTGCCAATTTTATGTAAAACGGAAAAATCACGAATTAAAAATAAGAAACGCCATTTTTAAAATAATCCTAGCTGCCTCGGTTTTTGAAATAGAGGGTAAAAAAAATCTTTGTCAATTTTAGTTACCCTTTCCATATTAAACACCCTGTATGGGTAATAGGATGGCGGAAACGGACAATTTTTTTTAATCGAATACTCTGCATATTTTTCTTGAATTTTATTACGCTTTTTATACTTCTTTTAAAAATATGTGTCTTGACATTTAAAAAAAATATTTCACAATAATTTTATTCCACTTAACAATATATTTTTATTGCTATGATTATTATAATCAGGAAAAGTGCAAACTAGGGAACACAAAATGTAGTAAACAAAAAAAAATGTCCAAAGTGATTTCCATAAGTTTTCAGGGAGTTTTGAAATACATTACGAATTCTTCTGTAGACATTTGCGAGGGTTGATTCTAGTTGTAACAAAGGTTACCTAAATTTTTAGAACACGGTCATTCGAATTTTAAAACTATAAACATGGTGGTTCATTTTGGCTTGTATATCAAAACATATACACTTACATCTGGGACTACGCCACTCAATTCTGAATTTTACGTTCTAGAAAAATGATTCTCGTAAATTCCCAGAGAAGAATTCATAAATCAGTTTGAGCAATTTGGTAATTTGGTTATTAAAATAGACACTAAGAATATTTTTTTAAATATCAAAATATGTTCTCTTTTTTAAATATACGGGATATTCCATTTAAAAACCTAACTTTAGATAGAATCTTAAAAATTATATCTCACAAAATATCCGAGTACGTATGGATTCTAAGTAAAAAATCTCATTCAAATACAGGAAGTTGTGATTAAAATACAATTTTTTTGTTTCATCCTGCAATTTAAAAACAAAAGAAGTTAGGATTGTTTTAAAAACTTTGTCTTTTGTTGCACGAAAATCAAGCGCAGTATTGCGAAAACAGCATCACACTATTTCTGATAATAACTGAAATAGCGCCCAATAACAACGCATAATTGGCGCACTGTATACATCAGTATAAACACCTGTCAAATCAAACCAAAACCAAACTTAAGATAATAAGTAATAAAGACCTCAATGGAGCAAATCTATACATAAACCAAACAAGGATCCAAAGAGTCTCACAATATAATTACTTGAATTCGAAAGGCTCTCACTGAAAATAAAGAAAAGACTCCTAAATTGTTACGTGTACTCGGTTCTTCTGTACGGTGTGGAGACATGGATCTTAAAACAGGAAACCATGTCCTTTTGAATGCTGGCTGTACAGGAGAATCTTAGAGATAGATAGCATGGACCCAGAAGGTTATTAATGAAGAAGTGTTACGGATAATGAAAACCTCCATAGAAATAGTCAACATCGTCAAATGGCGCAAACTTCAATACTTGGGTCACATCATGAGGAACAAAGGAAGACATGAATTACTCCAGTGTAGAAGAAGAGCGCCAGGACGCTGGCAAATCCTCGAGAATGGTTTGGTAAGTCTTCCACACAACTGTTCTGGATTTCAAACAACAAAATTAGCATATCCAGAGTGATCGCCCATGTCCGTGGCGGACAGGTACTCTAAGAAGACATATCGCAGAAGTTAGTAGAGTAAGATCACGTCAAGTGGACCCCCCATTTACCACTTGATCATAAAAATTTAATCTATATATATTTTATATAAGTACTTATGATGGAAAATTGATCCCCCAAACGATTTTTTAAAATTTTGATTTTAACAACATTTTTTGTTATAATGAAAATTTTAAGCACTTTTAATTAAAAAATTTAAGAAATTTTCAGCATCCATGGTCAAATGTCTATACTTTAAGAATATATTTTTCACTTAAAATTATTTGCTTATTTTCGTATTATTAACTAACTTTTAAATTAACAAATGAAAATTTAACTGATTTCATGAATTTATTTATTACAGCGCGTGCTTAAAAGTGCTTAAATTTTCATTATAAAAAATTTTTTTGCTAAAATCAAAATTTTGAGAAATCGTTAGAAGGATCAATTTTCCATCATAAGTTCTTATGATATATATATATATATATATATATATATATATATATATATATATATATATATATATATATATATATATATATATATATATATATATATATATATATATATATATATATATATATATATATATATATATATATATATATATATATATATATATATATATATATATATATTCTCACGTATTGATTCACGGATGGAAAAATGTGATGACACTATATTCCGGGATATCATCCGTTCGCTCGTTGAACTCCGACTGGAATCCTGCAAATCCTGCATCCGACTGGAATCCTGCAGACGTTTCGCCAAAATCTCACTTGGCATCTTCAATGCTCGCGCTCCGAAAACACTTCGAACACTGTTTTCGATGCCAAGTGAGATTTTGGCGAAACATCTGCAGGATTCCAGTCGGATGCAGGATTTGCAGGATTCCAGTCGGATGCAGGATTTGCAGGATTCCAGTCGGATGCAGGATTTGCAGGATTCCAGTCGGAGTTCAACGAGCGAACGGATGATATCCCGGAATATAGTGTCATCATATATATATATATATATATATATATATATATATATATATATATATATATATATATATATATATATATATATATATATATATATATATATATATATATATATATATATATATATATATATATATATTCTCACGAAGTGTTCGAAGTGTTTTCGGAGCGCGAGCATTGAAGATGCCAAGTGAGATTTTGGCGAAACGTCTGCAGGATTCCAGTCGGATGCAGGATTTGCAGGATTCCAGTCGGAGTTCAACGAGCGAACGGATGATATCCCGGAATATAGTGTCATCACATTTTTCCATCCGTGAATCAATACGTGAATATATATATATATATATATATATATATATATATATATATATATATATATATATATATATATATATATATATATATATATATATATATAT